CGACCACCAAAACCTTCGATTTCGGATACCGTTGGAAAGCCCACAATGCCATATTCAATTACCATAAAAAATCTTCCCAAAATTCCAAGTGATTTGGCCGGAATAAACCCACGAAATCAGCTACCCAAACTGGGCAGATTTTCGGACTTTTTTGGTAGCTGAATTCGTGGGTTTATTCTGACCGAATACCTTGGAATTATGGGGAGATTTTTGATGATAATTGAAGAGGATATTGTTGGCTTTCCAACGGTATCCGAAATTGAAGGTTTTGGTGGTCGAAAGTTGCCGAAATATTGTCTTAAACTTGCCCAAAAAATCTGAAAATCTGGGCAAATTTTCACAATTTTCGGTTACCGACTTCGTGGGTTTATTCCGGCAGAATCACTTGGAGTTTTGGGGAGATTTTTTATGGTAATTGAAGAGGACATTGTGGGCTTTCCAACGGTATCCGAAATCGGCAGTTTTGGTAGTCGGAAGTTGTCGAAAAATTGCCTCAAACTTGCTCAAAAAATCTGAAAATTCAGTGACCGTTTTGAAAGAAATTTCAAACTTCAGTGACCGTTTTGAAATTTTCAGGTAATTTCAGTGACCATTTGTGAAATTAACCCGAAAGTGAGTATATATAAAAACTATGGATGTATAATTTTATTTTTTTTAAAAGTGAATGTATATATAAAAATTATGGATGTAAATGGCGGTTAGAAATTACTGCACATTCTGATAATATCACCAAAGCAGGAAACTTTCCTCATTTACCAATATGTAAATGACATTTCTATTGGGAATTTACTTAACATGCACAGCGAAAATAAAACAATTTTCAATTCCCAAACGAGGATCTGTATTGTGTTTAGATAGAAACTGTTATGAGAATGATACATTTGATGAATTTCACAAATTCTTTTACTTTTTCTTGAACTCCAATGATCACGATCTGCAATCCAAGCTGTCCAATTATCCCCTCCAATGGTGATCCCCACAAAAAACAAGAATGATGGCTAGGGTTTTCTTTTCTTGTGTTAGCAAGAATAATGAAAAATTCCACACTGTTTTCAAACCCTAGTGGCCTATTAATATAAGTCCAAATGGGCTCTGTCCATTTGTTAAACTTAACCCGATCCAATATTTAATTAATCAAATTAATTAAATCTGGTTCATGAATTAATTAATCCAATTAATTAATTCGGCCTATTAATAAACAACCAAATTAATTAATTATCCAGCACTTGTCAATTAATTAATTGGTAAATCTCATTCTTCTGATTCTCTTTTGTGTGTGACTCATTAGGTTCCCGATCACGATACCTAACGACGTAAATTATTATTTTGATCTAATCAAAATCGATAAATTAAAATGCCCATTTAAAATTATCACTTATTCATTTTCGTTGTCCCAAATTGACATCTAGCAATGTATCAGAGCAATATTGTCAAAGTACGTGAGTAAGGGACGAAAAATGGCTATGAAAGTGAAGATAATTGAGCCATTGCTTGGAGAAGGAACCGTGGAGTTGAGAAGATGGGACTTGAAGAAATATTCAGGACGTTCAAGCTTGTCGTACGTGTTGAATAAAACTTGGGGGGAAATTCGTGAGAATAATAAACTCAAGATTGGAAATATCATGCAGCTTTGGGCTGCTCGAGTTGATGAAGAATTGCTTTTTGTGCTTGTCAAGGTTGCCTGAAGACCATGTTTTGTAGTTATGCATTATAGTTGTTTGGTTTGACTGAAGAATTAATTGTATGTTCATAATAAGTTTTTGGACAAAATAATAAATAATATGGCATTCTTTGGAGATGTAATTGCATGAATCCACTTGTAATTTAGTTTTCATTTCAATTTTTAGTAAACAAGTTAATTTCAGATTTATGCATTATTGTCACTTGTCTTCTTCTTGGGTTTAACTGAAGAGTGTATGTAGAAAATAAGTTTTAGCACAGAATTTTTGGAGAAGATAATTTGCATGAATCCACTAGTAATTTAGTTCTAATTTAAGCACATGTTTAGTCCGGATTAAAATCTGATTTTAATTAAAATTAAAGTCAAACAATCAATATTAATCACATCTTTCATAGGTCCCACAACTTTTCAACCACACATTTCAAAAACTTCTATCACGATGTACTAAAAATATAATTTTAATCTACACAAAACACCCTCTAATTATCGAAGCTACAGGATTCTTTAATTTTAGGCAAAAGTAGTAGTTGTTATCTTTAGGCTCAATCAATATTTTCATAATCACCATTAAAATAAAGAGAATCGACAAATATTTCTCTTTCGAATGCTCTAAGTAATAAAATATTGAAAAAAAAATCTAAATATGATTGTTCTCAAGTGAATTGAATTGGAGGAATTTTTTTTATTGCATTTATTAGTAATTCAATTTTTTTTTTTTTTTTTTATTTTTTTTCTAATAATTTAAATCATTAAGCATGGATATTTTTAAATGTAAAATTTAAACCACTCAAGGCCTTCAAGTTTTTTTTTTTTTTTTGAAGATATTATCAAATAATTAAAATCATGAAGCATGGATATTTTTAAATGTAAAATTTAAACCACTCAAGGCCTTCAAGTAAATTGTAAGAAAATGTTTGGTTAAACACTTTCAAATAATTATTTGTTCAAGCTTTGACTACCTGTCCTAGTATGCAATTATAATTTTGCCATTTTCTTGTTTCGGAAATTGCCTAAAGGATTAAGAGTTATTTATTATTTGTTGGCTTCTAGAAGAAATTATAGTAAAGTCGTTTTCTCTAGTAATAAAGGACCACAACGACCCTAAGAAGCTGCAAACCCATCAAGTGACGAAGTCTCCGCTAACCTTCCAATTAATTATTTATAATTTTTATTTTATTTTCTTCTTCTATTAAATGTCAATAATTAATTATTGAATCTAGAAGAGCAGCGTGATGAATTGTAAATCTAGAAGGCACTAAAAGTCATTCAGCGTGGAATATGCAACATCATTTGAATTATTGACAAANCTTTAGAGTTTTGATTATAACAAACAAGTTAATCTTATTTACTAACAAGTAGAATTCAAGTGATTATAGTTTTTCAAAGCATGCGATGAAAAATTGATCGATGCATCAAAAGATTAAAAGCTATTATCAAAAATCAGACTCATGAAGGAAGTCA